TGCCTAAGGTTTTGATAAGTGACAGAGGGACTCATTTTCATAATGACCCAATGGCCAAACTTTTGGCCAAATATGGAGTCCAGCATCGAAGCGGAGTAGCGTACCACCCCCATACTCAGGGGCAGGTCGAGAACGCTAACAGGGATTTGAAGTCCATTTTAGAGAAAACTGTTGCCCAAACCAGGAAAGACTGGTCAACTAAACTTGACGACGCACTATGGGCATTTCGGACCGCATACAAAACCCCGATCGGAACCACCCCATTTCGCCTAGTATACGGGAAGTCTTGCCACTTACCCGTTGAACTCGAACATAAAGCACTTTGGGTGATGAAAAATGTGTGTTTTAAACTTGACGCTGCAGGGAAAGAATGATTTTACCAGCTAAATGAACGGGAAGAGTGGAGAGCGCAAGCTTTTCATAATTCCAAACTTTACAAAGAACGGGCCAAACTCTATCATGATCAACACATCAAGGCCCGTGGTTTCAATGTTGGGGACAGGGTGCTACTGTTCAACTCCCGGTTAAAACTTTTTCCGGGAAAACTGAAATCAAGATGGTCCGGACCGTTCACGGTCATGAAAACTTACCCCTATGGCACCATCAAGATCGAAGATGCAACCGAGGGTCCCTTTAAGTTCAATGGTCACCAACTCAAACTTTACCACGGTGGCCCGGTCGAAAAAAGCAAGGAGATTCTCTATCTCCAGAAATTTTGAACCAAAGGAGGAAATTCGTCAAGCTAGTGACGTTAAAGAAGCGCTCATTGGGAGGCAACCCATTATTAAAAAAAACTAACCCAAAAAAAATGTTATTTTGATTTTTGCAAATGTCTGGAGGAGGAAGCGACGATCCCATCTGTCAGGAGCCACCACTGGCTAGGCATGACCCATTGCATGTGCCAGATATCCCATTTGCTACTGATGCTGACCGCACACGCTTCCAGACGTGGGGGCAGTACCGCACTCTCCTAGCTCCCATGATCCTGGATCAGAGGATGCTCGAGGAATGGGGATATTGGGGCGACATTGATGATCTACTGGGAGATTCCTTGTGGCGTGGGATTCTATCCATACAGGAGAGAGCCAGCTTCCCATTGACGATGGAGTTCCTATGCTCTCTACGCTTCACTCACTACGGCCACACTGTGCACACAGGATCTGTCATTGGGTTTGTGACTCAGATGAGATTCACTATCATGGGCATTGAGCACTCCATCACTGTGGCTGAGCTCGGATAGAGGATTGTGCTCTATGCTCCTGCATATACACAGTCAGGCGTGTTCTGTGCTCTCCCGATGCGTTTACCTGAGACATTTGACATTGATGAGTTCTGGCACAGGCACTCCACAGACACTAGACCGTTCCTCCGCATGCACCCCCAGTCGATCTGGTGGAGGCAGACTCACTGGCATATACTCTCATTTGTACTCTCTTGTGGGTTTTTTGGACGACCTAACAACACGAACAGGTTGTCCAAAAAGGACATACTATTCTTTTGGAGTCTGGTTCACCGCACCCCGGTGAATATGGCAGTCCTTTTGGCTCGTTTCTTCCGGAGCCAGGGGAAGAGTATTCGCCACACGATCCAGGCAGGGCTCTTCGTCACTACTCTCGTCCGGTCTTTCTATCCTGACCTAGACATTCCAGGTCTACTCCCACTACAGGATAGCATTCGCATTCTTAGATCCTCATCCTCTGGGAACATGAGGATCAAGAAGAAGCGAAATACTCAGGAGCTTCCGGGCATTGAGCAGTCGACCCAGCAGAGTAGCTCTTCTCGAGCCCCACCACACAGAAGACCCGGTGAGCCATCCTCGGACATGCCTAGTGCTTCAGATTGGAGTGCAATGATGGACGCGATGAGGGGTTATCAGACCTCATTCGTAGATTTTCGGGGTGCACAGGAGAGATCATTTCAGGAGATGCGAGAGGCACATGCGTCGGCCCTGGGAGAATTCAGAGATTATAGACTGGCACAGGAGAGAGCATTTCAGGAGATGCGAGAGGCACATGCGTCGGCCCTGGGAGAATTCAGAGATTATAGACTAGCACAGGAGGGAGCTAACAGGGATATTCAGGAGCAGCTAAAGACCCAACGACTGGATATTGAGGAGATACGAGAGTGGCTGCGGCCTAATCATGGATATTGAGGATACACAGGCGATGCCTAGATTTGCTTCTTCCTTGACATTTATTTGTGTTTGTTTGTTTATTCAGGATTGGACATCGCGCTGCTCTTTTGACTTGAATGCTCTCACAAACTACCTATGGATGTTGTAAGGATTTTTTAAAACCATTTTAATCCTGTTTGATCGTTCCTCTTCACAAAATCTTTTCAAAACTCAAGTGTGAGGAAAGAACAAAAAAAATGTGCCTTTATTTCTAAACTTTGTGCATTAAAAAGAGACCTCGAGGGCGAGGTCCAGCTCAAGTGTGAGGAGGTTGCGTTTTACGCTCAAAAGTTAAAACTTTGTTTTAGAACAATCTTTTTACTATTTTTGATATGAAACATTAATTTCTCAATTGTTATCAATCACATAATAGGTTAGAGAATCACCCTTATTATAAGAATTTACTTTTATTATTATTTTTGGAAAACTTGAAATTGTTATGGTTTCTTGGTTGTGAAAGTAAAAGGGCTGAATTTGTTTTAATTGGACATTCATTTTAGTAAAAAAAAAAACTCATTTAATCTACTCTGCATTTAGCTCCTTCTCTTATTACCCACTAAATTACATATGCGGCTAAGTGTTGCAGACTTGCAGCTTTCCATTCTGATTATCGCACCCATGTCTTGTTATACCTATCCATCCCTTCCCGCTAGCACTATATCCTCCCCTTGGACAATTCCATCTCCAAAAAAAACACAAAAAAAAAAGGGGGGGGGGGGGGGGGGGGGTGCTCCGTTTTATCCATTAACCATAGTCTGTGACAATACATCCACCATGAGACTACACCGCCAACAGGAGTGAAAATGAGTCAAAAAAAACTAGATGAATGTCCAATTTAGAATAATGAAAACCTTGGGATAGGAAATGATTGGTGGTTTAACATAATCAATAGTTTCTTTAGTAATAATAATTTTAAATTCTTGTATTTTGGGTGATTTTTCTAAAATGTTTAAAAGTTGAGAATAAAAAAGGGAGATTTTTGTTTCTATTTCTTTAATAGCAATTCGATTGAATTACAATAAGGTTTTACCTTTTTGAGTGTGTTTGCAACTAATTTGTCGCTTGGGGACAAGCAACGCTTAAGTGTGAGGAGATTGATAAGTCCGTTTTTGTACTTATTTTTCTTATCAAATTTAAGTGATTTTGGATTGAAAAATAGAAAAACAAGGCATGTTTTGTATATTTTGGTTCAAGTTTTGTGAAATCAGGTAAAAAATCACGTCCATGATATGTTTGACGAAATTTCGGGTCAATTAAGCACACAATGAGTCAATTTGAGTGAAAATGATATCATACTGAAAGAAGGAAGCAGAATCTCAAAGTGGTCCAGAAGGGAAAGTTGAAGAGCACAAAATACAGAACAAGACAGACAAAAAACCTCACAGGCGCCCAAATAGGCGCCCAGATTGGCTGCCTACCAGGCCGCCTACGCTATTTTTGGAAAGTCAGCATTTTGGAAGTTTGACCGGACCGGAGAAGACCGAAGGCTGCCGACACTAGACGGAAGGCGGCCGCCTTCGGTGACCGCCTGCGGCACAAGGCGACAAACCAACCACCGGCTGGTGGGATTTGACGGCAGGCGGTCAGACAGGAACGACAGGCGGCCGCATGCTGGACCGCCTGCGGCGGATGACAAGACCGGCGCGTCACGCCCTGTCGGTGACGTGACGGAAGGCGGCCGGATCCAGACGGACGGCTGCCGCCTGGTTGGCCGCCTACGGTATTTTTGCTGCTATAAATAGCCCGATTTTTTCTGAACTCAAACACACCTCTTCCAACCCTAATTCAGTTCAAAAAGTTCCAATTCTTCAGCCATTTCCGAGCTCCAAGCTGTTTTTTGGAGAGAGAAATTTCAAATCTCCATATCTTCTTCATTTTAGCTTCAAATTATAAGTTCTTTATATGTATTTTCATCTTCTCAACGAGTAGAATCTGAATCTGTGCTTTGTTTTCTCGATCTGTTCTTTGAAATTTTCCAGAATTTTTATCTAGCATTTCACATTTTCTTCCATAAATTAAATAAAATAGTTGTTGATGTTGAATTCATTCCAATTAATTATATAGTTGTTCACTAGCCTCAAGGTTGTTATTTATCTGAATAAAGTTAATTTTCACGAAGTGCAAGTAATTTTTAATTAATTTCGGTAATTAGTTGTTATTATTGCATAAATTAAATTAATTACAAAAAAATAGAAAAAACTAGTCTCGGCCCTAATTCCAGTTTATTTCACTGTAATATCACCCCAGTAGTCAATAGAAAATTTATAACGAATTTAGCCTATTTTTAATTGCCTTTTGTATTTTATAGTTAAAAGTGGGAAAATTATCAATTAATTGTTAAAATTGGATTTTAGGTTTGAAAATTCGTGAAAAATTCCAGAAAGTCATATTGTAGTTCCAGAGAGTTTATTTTGACAATATCTTATTTTTGTTTAATTTTTGCTATTATACATGTTTAATTCCTTGTTAATGTTTAATTTATTTACCATATTGTTGAATGCAAAAATAATGTTTAGTAGCTAAATTTGTTTTGGGCATGAATTGAGTAAAGGAATATGGATTGACTTGTTATCCGAAAATTATGGGTTAAAATTAATTAATTGAGCTAGTTATTTAATTTGATGAATTAGTAATTAATAATTGTTAGCCAACTTCGAGATAAAACCCGCCATTATCAACATGATGTCTAATCATCAATTTGGCGGGTCCAAACAAGACGATCCCAGGGCCCACATGATGTGGTTCACCAGAGCGTGCCAAACATTCCGCTTCAACGGAGTGACTCCTGACGCCGTAAAACTGACCCTATTTCCTTTCTCACTTCGAGATAGGACATCTCTATGGTTGGATAGCTTTCCAACAGGACATTTCACGACATGGGCAGCACTACACCAGGCGTTCATGCAAGAGTACTTTCCTCCGTCGGTGGTTGCTAAAATCAAAACAGCAATCCAAATCTTTAGGCAATTCCTGACGGAATCATTAAATGAAGCATGAGAGCGCTTCAAGGATATGAGAAACAAGTGTCCACTCACATTGATGGACCCTAGCAGCTTGATGTTCCATTTCTATAATGGGCTTCAAGTCGGAAGCAAAAAAGAGTTTGATTTCTCTTCGCAGGTGGGGTCGTTCCTTGACATGGCACCCGACGCCAATGAAGCTCTGGTGGAGAACGTCACTTCCAACGCAAGATACTGGTACGATGAAAGAACTCCCGTGGCCACAAATAAGGCTATCTTGAAGTGGACCAACTCATGGCCTTAACCGCAAAGATTGAAGGGTTGGTGGTGGAAGTGAAAAATCTGAAAGGCTAAAACAATCACACCAAGCAGGTCAACCACGTTGGCGCTGCCCCGAATCAACAACCATCCCGATACTTTGGGAACTCAAACTCTACCCCACACTCATCACAATTTAATGTTTATTCACCTGTTTCTAACTCTACTGAACTTGTACTCTCCTGTGAGATATGTTTTGGTCCGCATTTGACCAATTCATGTCAATTAGTTGATGATTGTAATGCAAGTAACAACAGGGAGATAAACATACTGGAATATGGCCGAACAAAACAAGAAGGGAACTAGTAAAAAAATGGCTTATAGTGACATTTAATTAGTGTCACTAAACAATTTAGTGACACTCTGAAAGTGTCACAGAAAAGTGGGGCTAGTGACGCTAAATTTTGTGTCACCGTTAACAAGTCACTTTGGTGTCACAAAATTATGACATATAAACATCATAGAGATCTGTGATATATACGTAACAAGGATTTTTTTGATACCTTGGCATCATGCTTTTTAGTGATATACCGACATCAACAAATATAATGATACTAATACACATTCAAATTTTGTGATGGTTTGGTGTCACTAACCCCACTTTTCTGTGACACTTTCAGAGTGTCATTAAATCATTTAGCGACACTAATTATAAGTGTCATTATATCTTGCGTTCATGATAGATTAGTTTCATTACTTTATAGTTTGCATTCAAGCAATATAGTAATACACCAATTAACCAACTTTAAATACACACATACTAATAAACATTACAATATAATACTAGTGTTTGGATTTCATCATTGTTAATTCTTCATGTTAGGTTACAACTTCCCCAACAACATAGGCGCAGCCGCGCAGGCTTTCAGTTTCAAGCAAAAATGATGCCACAATTAACCAGGGCATTGCATAACGTACAGTTTTACATTCCACAAAACAAGAACCTACAAAAGTATACCCAACATAAAGTTCTCAATGAATTTCACTCCAAAAGTGTTTCTTGCATTTTCCTTCACTCCAAAAGTACACGAACTCCAGACCATCATTCAAGCAACCGCATCTGTAAGCAAGAAGTACAAGTATAAGAAATTAAGTATAAGAAATTAATCCAAGTTCTGTAAAATCTTAACACAATGAACAAAATAAGTACCAACATGGGAAAAAATTCTTACTTTAGGATCAATTTTGTTGCATATGCTGCCCACTCCTCACACACTTGCAAGATGTCTTGTTCAGAGTAGTCCTTTATTGTTGAGAACTAAGAGTATAAAAATATAATGAGTACAAACATATACAAACTTCAATTAATGTTATCCCACAAAAATATATACAAACAATCTGTTAGAGCAAGAATCTGACGGTTTATGTTGCATTAAAGAGGGTTGGTCACAGAAGTTAATGATACGTTCATAAGGCTTAATGATGGATGTTGTAACATTTTCTGTACATTATTAGGCTCTTTAATATGATTAAGGAAGGTATTAAATGTAATTGACCAGCCTTTATGACGGATTTTGAATTCGTCAGTACGGCCGGCCAACCCGTCATTAACGTACAAAGCCATCATGAGAGCATTAATTACCCTTCTTATAAATAGGATATCCCTCATTGTAATCAGGGAGCTCATATTCGAATGATACACAAGTTTTCACTCTTACTCACTCACTTGTCATCTTCTTCATTGCTCTTGTTCGAAGCCCATTCTTCATATAAAGTCCTTTTTTAATTAGTTTTAGCATATCAAAAAATTGCTTAAACAATTTGGCGCCCACCGTGGGGCATCGTGCAAGAGAAATATCATTGAGCATGGTTGGCGGTAATCCTTTGTTGGCAGAGTTTCATGCGCAGTTAGAGTCGGAAAAAGAGGAAATCCGGCGAGAAATGGCAGAACGAATGGCCCATCTCCAACGGGAGAATGATCTGCTTCGATCCCAAGTCCATAAGCGGTATCAATCGCCTCCAGTTCTAGAGGCAATCGAAGAAACGATATCACGCCCGACGGTACACGATTGGAATTGAATTCCATTCCGACAATGACGGAATCACCTATCATCACCACTAAACCCGTCTCTCTCACATTGGGCCTCTCACGTGCCGGAGATTCACAACCTACAGTCATCTCTCAGGTCATCCCTTACACACCTCTTGTCCCTGAGACGACTCCCCTTCCCAGCATGCCGACTTGTTTCTTTTCGGAGTCCCTTCAACCCGGACCAATAACGACAGGCTTGCACTCGGCCACTCAATGCCTACCAATGGCTTCGGCCGTATCAGCCCTGATGGAACCGTCTGTCCCTCACTACAGAAGCAGAACTCATGGTGAGTCCAGTCCGTCCAACTTCGTGCAGAACCGTGTAGACCAGTCATTTTAACGGATGAGAATTGCGGGGGGTGACGTCCGGAAGTCATAGTCATTCCGTCACCAACCCGTCCCGAAGTAACTCGACCAATGGTTTCAACAGAAGGACTACTTCAATCAGGTCTGGCGGATACAATGTCTATGATGATGGACCAATTACGTCAGATGCAAGAAAATATCAACGGATTACCAGGAGTGCCCCCACCTTTGGATCGAGCATCACGAACATGTTATGCAGATTCCCCCTTTAGCAGACAGATCACCGACGTGGAAATGCCAAGAAAATTTGCCGCACCATCAATGAAGATGTTCGATGGTATGTCTGATCCGTTGGAACATGTTGCTCAATACAAGCAGCGAATGCTCGCCGTATCGCTTCATCCAGATCAAAGAGAAGTGTGCATGTACCGAGGTTTCAGAGCGACACTCTCTGGTCTCGCCCTAACATGGTTCGTCAACCTGCCAAATGGAGGGATCAACTCGTTTGCGGAACTAGTTGATGCGTTCAACCAACAGTTTGCAAGCAGTCGAGTTCTTGAGAAGCAGACAAGGAATCTTTACAGAATCATTCAGCGTCGAGACGAGTCACTGAGAGACTATCTGCATCGCTTCAACAAAGAAAAAGTGTCAATTTCCAGGTGTGACATTTCGACAGCAGTGGAGGCATTTTGGAGGGGTTTAATCGACGATTCAGAACTGTACAGAGAACTGACTAAATACCCCTGTAGAACCTTCGAAGATGTCCAGGCCAAGACCTTAGCTTTCATCAGGCTCGAGGAGGACCAACAATTACGGCTTCGACAGGATGGATATGACGGCGGGCAACGTAAATCCAACACGTCCAGGAAACATGATTACCGGACTGGCAAACCCTATGCCAGAACCAAGGATCGGCCAGTAGCGTCAATAGCAAGATGGCTTGATGATCCAGATTTGCCACCCGTCGTCACCGATTACTGCTTCAATGTTACCACCCTGGGACTCATCCACTCTTTAGAGAAGCTGGGGGGAAAGGGTTCGATGGCCCAAGAAAACTGACAAACCAGCGAGACATCGAGATCCAAGTAAGCATTGTGATTTTCACAATGACATTGGGCACAACATTGAGGATTGTGTCGCGCTGCGGAAAGAGGTGACATACTTGCTGAGGAATGGCTATCTGACCGAAATCATGTCTGAACATACCAAATCGAATAGAGACCTCCTTCACCATCAGCTCCTTGTAAGGTAATTAATTTCATTAATGGTGGATCTTACTTATGTGGACTAACATACTCCGCAACAAAGAGACACGCTCGGGATTACTCCCGAGACAAAGCATTGCATGTTTGCAGGGTAGAGAAGCGTGAAGAGGATTGGAGAAATGCATCAATTACCTTTGACGAAACGGATATTCCCGATCTGACACATTCTCATCATGATACGTTAGTCATTTATCTTAGTGGCAATCTGTGAGGTCAAGCGAGTCCTTGTGGATAACAGAAGCACATCAAATATCACCACCATGAGAATGCTAAGAGAGATAGGAATCAAGGATGAAGACATGATGGAGTTCGGATCAAGCCTAGTCGGATTCAACGGAGAGCCAAGTCGAACCTTAGGTAACATATCTTTGCCTGTGTATGCCCATGGTCTCAATGTGCAGGTCAAATTCGATGTGGTCGAAGACCTACCAGCCTACAACATGATTCTGGGAACTCCGTGGCTGCACCAAATGGGAGCCATCCCGTCAACATACCATCAAGTCATCAAATTCCCAACTCCATGGGGAGTGCAAGTTATCCAAGGGGACCAGAAGGCGGCCAAATCTTGCTACCAGGTTGCCATAAATCCAACAGCAGGCCAATCAACTTTGGCGTAACAATTAAAGGATGGCTCCACTCTGGAAGAGGATGATGACAGAACCGAAGAAGTTGCCATTGTTCCCGAACATTCAGAGAGAGTCGTCCACATCGCGAAGAACATGCCAAAAAACCTCAAAAGCGAGCTAGTGGAGTTTCTCAAAGAACACAAAGATGTATTTGCATGGAGTCGCGAGGACATGCCAACTATTGATCCAAACATCATAACTCATAGATTGAACGCTGGCCCGTCATTTCAACCAGTCAGACAAAGGAGGAGACGCTTTTCCAAAGAAAGAAATGCCATTGTAAATCAAGAAGTTGACACACTGCTCCAAACTGGCAAAATAAACAAGGTAAGGTACCCTGACTGGTTGGCTAATGTTGTTGTCGTCCAGACAAAGAAGGAAAATGAGGAGGGCAAACCGGCTAAATGATGAGTCTGTGTTGATTTCACCGACTTAAACAAAGCATGCCCGAAGGATTCGTTTCCAATGCCGCATATAGATGCATTGGCTGATGCAACGGTTGGGCACAAAATGCTATCATTCATGGACGCCTTCAGCGGTTACCACCAAATCCGACTACATCTAGACGACCAGGAAAAATGGCTTTCGTCACAGAAACAGGTACGTACTACTACATTGTGATGTCGTTTGGCCTTAAAAATGCAGGCGCGACGTTCCATAGGTTGGTCACTATGATGTTCAAGGATTCGATGGGAGACACCATGGAGGTCTATATTGACGATATGATCGTAAAATCCAAGAAAAAAGAGGATCACATCAGTCACCTGACGAAATCTTTCAAAAGACAGAAGGAGTAAAATCTAAAGCTCAATCCGGCAAAGTGTGCTTTCGGAATGTCATCAGGAGAATTCTTGGGGTACATCGTCAGCGAATGGGGGAAAGAGGGAAGACCGGCACAAGAACGCGCCATCCTCGACATCGAATCCCCCAAATCTATCAAAGACGTCCAAAGATTGACAGGGAGGGTCACAGCTCTAAACTGATTCATCTCAAAATCATCAGACAAGTGCCGTCTGTTCTATGACGTTTTGCGAAAGAATAAAAAATTTGAATGGACGGAACAACATGAACAAGCACTTCGACAATTGAAGGAGTACATGACGACCCCACCATTACTCGCAAAGCCCAGAGAAGATGAGGAACTCCGGCTTTATCTAGCCGTTTCGGAGCATGTTGTTAGTGTCGTCTTGACAAGAGAAGAGGACGGACAACAGACACCAGTCTACTACGTGAGTAAGTCTCTGAATGGACCAAAATCCAGGTATGCTTTACTTGAAAAGTTAGTTTTGGCATTAATTGTGGCTTCAATTAAATTACGTCCTTATTTTGAGTCTCATACAATCTGTGTTCGGACTAATTATCCCATGAAGCCAATCATGAGGAAACCTGAGTTGACAGGTCGCATGGCCAAATGGTCAATCCAATTGGGAGCTTACGATCTCAGTTATGAACCAAGAACGGCCTTGAAATCCCAAAC